CCAGGGCGATGGCGCCGGCGGCCTCGGCCCCCCTGGCGCTGCGCCCCGCTGCGCCGCTGTTGCAGGGCCCCCCCCTTACGCACCCCCTGCTGCGCCCAGCGCCCGGCCCCATCCGCACGGCCCATGGGCCCATCCTCTTCTCGCCCTACTGATGGGCGCCCCAGCAACCGGCGCCCGGCAACCATGCGGTGACCACCCGGCAACCGGCCCCCAGCAGCTGCCCGGCAACCCACCCCGGCGACCGCCTGGCAACTGGTGCCTGGCAACCAGCCCCAGCAACCACCTAGCAACCAGCCCCCAGCAACTGGTGCTCGGCGACCGGCGCCGGCAACCACCCAGCAACCAGACCCCGGCAACTGGTGCCCGGCAACCCATCCCGACGACTGCCCAACAACTGGTGCCCGGCGACCAGCACCCGGCAACCACCCAGCACCCGGTCCCCCAGCAGCTGCCTAGCAATCAGTGAGCAGAGCAGCGCTGCGGGGAGCTCCACTGTCCTGATCCCCCTGTAATAGCTGCCCCATGGACAAGGGGGCTCGGATTGCCGCCCCGCCTCCCCAGGGTGCTGGGAAACGATTCCACCCCCACCCTGGTAACACCCCAGTTTGGCCCGCGGAGGTAGGACAAGGGGGTCCCATCCCCACCCCCGGAACCTGACCCTGGCTGGGAGCTGGGACCTGCCTCACACATGCTAACCTGGCCGCATGGAGGAGAGGGCAGTGCTGGAAACCCTGCCGCACAGCACGCAGCTCAGCCCCCAGAGAGGGATGCCACTAGGTGGGGAAACTGAGGCACATCAGCTGGGCCCAGGTCCCCACCATGCACCCCAGCCTGGGTCCAGCCAGCCCCAGCCCCAAGACCCTGGGGCCCATGGGCACCCCTTGACCCCCTCTCTGTCACCAGGTCCCTCCACCCTGTCACCAGGCATGGCGAATGTGAGCGTGTCTGACGCCTTCTCCTGCTATGACCCAACCATCGTAGGCTACCGCTACGTGGCCGTGGCCTGGGGCTCAGTGGTGAGCGTGGTGGGCACAGTGGGCAACATCCTGACCCTGCTCGCGCTGGTGTCCGAGCCGGGGCTGCGCACGGGGCTCAATGTGCTGGTGGCGAACCTGGCACTGGCCGACTTACTGTACTGCACCGGGCTGCAGCCCTTCTCTGTGGACTCCTACCTGTGGCTGCACTGGCGGGGAGGTGGCACGGCCGGCCCCGCCCGTCGTGCGCT